AGAAAGAGAAAAGAAAAAGAGAAAGGAAGGAAGGAAAGAAGGAAGGAAGGAAGGAAGGAGAGAAGGGAGGAAGGAAAGAAAGAGAGAAAGAACACAATCCAGTTTCATAACTGATGTCCATGCCTCCAGTTCTACTTCTCCCACTTTGCCACTTCTTTTTGTTTCCCACCCCCTTACCTGTATTGGTCAGCCTCGGGGTTCACAGCCTCTCCTGATTGGCTAACACCCAACATTTAACCCAAGGGGGTGGGGAGTCTTGGTGAGATTCTAGGGAACAAAGGGTCCAGCAGGAAGAGTCCAGGCAAGCTACATGGACTTTACATCTGTTAATCGTGTCTTAATTGTCCCGAAGGCCTCAGAGGAGTGTGTCACCAGTACCTTCTAGAAACTCCTAGAAGTGTAATATGCCTTACAGTGCCCTTTATGGCCTGATGTGTGCCTGTTGCCCTTTTTATTTCAATATTTGTTGCTTTTCTTTGTGCTGCTGGGGATGGAAGCTGGGTCCCGGTGCACTCAAGGCAGCCATGTTGTGTCTTTGCGCATGCTCCCTGCAAACGACATGGACGCCTTCCTGGAAGCTGCTGCGTACAAGACCCTCCTGCAGCCCTCCCTGGGACTCAAATCATTGTCAGGAGACAACCCCAGACAGAGCTTGCGTTTTCTCTCCTTTGTGTTCCTGCGGTGCCTTGCACCACGAGGTCCCACCTCTCCCATGATCCACTCTAATCCTCTCAGGCCCCAACTGATTCCTACTGCAGGCGGACATGTCCTGGATGAGTTTGGGACCATCTTCTAGCCTCATTTCCCCAGTGCCTGTTTCAGTATCTGCTGCCTGGCATACCCAGGGCATGGAGGTGGAATAGGCGTCAGACCCAATGGCAGGGCCTCTCTGGAGACATTGGAGGAAGCCTCCCAGAGGCTGTTGGCATCACTAACAGTTGGTCCGAGGGCATCTTTTCTGCTTCTATCCAAGCCTTAGCCCACCTATTTTCCATCATGACTGTAGAGGAAGGTCACAGAGGCTGGGGTCACTGGCTCCTATTTTCTCTCTGATCATTTAAAACTGAGTCTCTAAGGCCTAGAAGCCAGGAAAAAGTGAATGCAAGAGTTTCAGAGCCCAAGGATGACGCAAGGGGGGGGGGCGTGGAGTGGGAGGTTCACACACTTGGAAGGGACTTTTCTCTTAGACACTGTGTTGATGAAATTAATCTCTTGGTGGATCAAGTGTTGTGGCATGCTGGTTCGTCATCAGAAGGCTCTAAGTGACCTAGAACTTCAAGTTAGGATGGGGGTCATCGCATGGCTCTGAGACACCACTCCAGCCACGACCCTGCCTGTCGCCCTCATCAACCAACAATCCCCTTCTTCCTCAGGCTGGAACCTTTATTATTCTTCAAACTAAAAGCATTAGAATCAAGTCATTGTGTCTTTCATATAGACTGATCATATTTAGGCAAGAAAATGTAAAAAGTGATTTTTGTTGTTGGTGTTGTTAGTCATAGGACTTGAACTCAGGGCCTGCACACTCTCCTTGAGCTCTTTTGCTCAAGGCTCATGCTCTACCACTTTGAGCGACAGCCCCACTTCTGGTTTTCTGGTGGTTTATTGGAGATAAGAGTCTCATGGACTTTCCTGCCCCAGCTGGTTTTGAACTGCAATCCTTGGATCTCAGCCTCCTGAGTCGCTAGGACACCAGCACTCAGCAAAGCTATTCTTTTATAGATAAGGCAGTTGCCAATAGTCATAGATCATGTCTCACCAAAATGCTTGTCACAGATCAGGGCCTTTAATATGCCTTGAGATGAGAGGTACATCCATGGCTGACTTAGGGTGAACAGAGCTGTATGGGGTTAAAAAGAACTCGCTGGGGTTTAAAAAAAAATACCTGAGCAGGAATTTCAGCAGGCTGTGCTACCTGGGAACCTAGTTGAGTGTTCAATGAAACAGAGCATTGTGTTGCCTCTCCTGACGGCCTAAGATTTCTGTGCCATTTTGTTTCTCCAATGCTTTCCACGAGCCAGAAATGGAGCAGAGCAAGCTGGAGTGAGTCTTTAGCTTTAAAGCAGACTTTAAAGATTGGGCAAGTTGCTTAGCTTTTTTTCCTCAAGGCTGGTGTTCTACCACATAAGCCACACCTCCACTTCTAACTTTGGGCTGCTTTGAACCATCATTCTCAGATCTCAGCCTCCTGAGTCACTAGGATTACAGGTGTGAGCCACAGCACTCCACAAAGAATTTTTTTTAAAGAATCTGCTCCCTATGTCTCCTTTTGTTGTTGTCGTTGGTGGTGGTGGTCGTGGGGCTTGAACTCAGGGCATGGGCACTGTCCATGAGCTTTTTCACTCAAGGCTTAGTGCTCAACCACTTTGAGCCACAGTGCCACTTCAGGGTTTTTAGTGGTTAATGGGAGATAACAGTCTCATGGAGTTTCCTGCCTGGGCTGGTGTTGAACCATGATCATCAGATCTCAACCTCCTGCATAGCCATGACTGACCAAAAAACAAAAACAGCATAAGCCAAGGTGGTTTCAAGGTTTTCTATCCTGACATTAGCAATGTGAGGCTTAGTGCGTTATCTTCCTGAAGTGTAGAATTACCGTGGATGTTAGGGGGGGAAAGGATGAGGGACTAATATTTTAATATACTAAGCCAGAAAGTAAAACATGTTTCTATTCTCTGAGATAACAGAACTGAATTTTAGTTCCAGCTATCTGCATTCTAACGCTGGCGCGAAAATTAGATGAAGAGATTGTATTCTGTTGCATTCCCAAAGGGAATAGCTGTAGGTCCGGTGAAGAATTGATCTGCTTAGATACAATCAATGAAAAACAAGGACCAATTTCCAAGTAGTCGGTGAGGTAGGCACGCATCCATTCCAACCTCTGCATCCCGCAGTGGATACACCGAGAGACTCGCCACTGTAATTCAGCCACGGTGAGGCAGAGAAAGCATTTTAGCAGTTCTGGGGCCTACAGCCAGGCTTTTCTGTGGTGTACCAAGAGTCAAATACTCTTTTGCTCAAGTGCCAAAGGTGTTGGTTATTTGGAAGGCCCAGCTAGCTTTGGCCCAGGATTCTCCTGTGCGTCCTTGAAATCGAGCCCAGTCTGCAGGTGCAGTGCTGTTTGCATACCTGAGGTGAGATTCACACCCTTCAGATTCCTTGCTGACTTCTGGCTTGCAGACTTGCTTTCCTCAGAGAACCTTCTAGGCTTGCCCAAGGAGATGCTGAGGTCAGAATCGGCGTGTGCCTGCCTTTCTCATTTTCACTGATTGCATCTAGACAGATCAATTCTGGTTTCCATCTACTTTATCTTCATAAGGTGTGGGGAGGGAGGAGGCACTGGGGCATGAATTCAGGGCCTTGTGCTCCTACTGGCTTTTTAAACTCAGTGTCCTATGCCTTGAGCCACATCCCCACATCCAGTGTTCTGATGATTAATTGGTGGCTCACTGGTGGCTCATGCCTGTAATCTTAGCTACTCAAGAGGCTAAGATCTGAAGATAGTAGCTCCAAGAGAGCCAGGGTGAAAGTCCACAAGTTAATTGGAGAATTAACTACCAAAAATCGAGAAGTGGAACTGTGGCTCAAGTGGTAGAGTACCAGCCTTGAGCAAAAATCAATTAATTAATTAAATGTTTAGGGACAGTGCCCAGGCCCTGAGATCAAACTCTAGGACTGGGGAGAAAGAAAAAACAAACAAAAACTATCTCCCAGAATGTTTGCCTGGGCTGGCTTTGAATAGTGATCCTCAGATCTCAGCCTCTTGAGTAGCTAGCTGGAAGTGCCCTGTGCCCGGCTTTGCATATGCTTTTGGAGCCTGGATAATGTTATGTTACTAAATAACCCCAGGTTTCTGGTTTTTGTTATTGTTTTTGTTTTTGTTTTGTTTTTGGACAGTCATGGAACTTAAACTCAGGGCCTGGGCATTGTCCCTGAGCTCTTCTGCTCAAGGCTAGCACTCTACCACTTGAGCCACAGCACCACTTCAAGTTTTCTGGTGGTACGTTGGAGATAACAGTCTCACAGACTTTCCTGCCAGGGCTGATTTTGAACCACGATCCTCAGAGCTCAGCCTGTGTGAGCCACTGGCGCCTGGCTTCCTGAGGGTATCATTATGATTCTAAGGTACCGGGTGACAGACAATGTGGCCATTAGCTGGCCATACTGAGAACTCTGAAGTATATCACAGACTTGATCATTTCTGGCCTTACCTGCTCTAATCCTGGCATTGTATCCACAGTCCCCATTCCCCCAGGCCACTAAGGATGCGGTGAGCTTGGGGAACATCAACCTCATCTTCCAACATGAGCGAAGTTAAGCCGCATCCTCCTGTCCACCCTGGGGTGCATTATGGGTGGTTCATTAAGGACCTGCAAACTCAGCCTTCTTCTACTTACACCAAACTTTTGGAATCCCCTGTGCATGGATTAGGCTCTGCCAGTCCCTGCACAGGAGCTAATTTGTTTCATAAATGATTAACGGCATGGATAATAAATGGCTCCTCATAACAGAAAGTAGCAGATTTTGGCCCATTGGGTTAAGTGGAAGGACATCAGCCCAGAGCAAAATGCGGGAGTTTTAAGCACTAAGACTTATTCAAAGTAAACCATGCCCCCTGCACAGACTAAGCTTTGCAGATGCCCTCCCGCTAAGATGGAAAAAAAGGATACATGGACTGTGAATCTTAAGAATTATATCTTGTAGCCAGATGCCAGTGGCTCATGCCTGTAATTCTAGCTACTCAGGAGGCTGAGATCTGAGGATACCAGTTCTAAGCCAGCCAGGGCAGGGAAATCTGTGAGACTCATCTCTTCAGTTAACCATCTGAAAACCAGAAGTGGTGCAGTGGAGCTGTGGTTCAAGTGGTAGAGCACCAGCCCTCAGGGACAGCACTCAAGCCCTGAGATCATCACAATAAAAAACAATTATTAGTATTATCATGATATCTTATTGTGAAGCAATGCAAACGTTAGCTTTCTTGGTTTTCTCTTTTGGAAAAGCTTTTCACAAATGCCAACGAGTTCAGTGAAAGCGGAGACGAATGACAACATCACAGTGTTCACCAGGATTTTGGACGGGCTGCTGGATGGCTACGACAATAGACTGAGGCCTGGGCTGGGAGGTGAGTGTGCGCACGCGCTGCTGAGGCCAAGGCCTGTGAGGATGGGTGGGGGGGAGCCCCCGAGGCGGGAAAGCTCCACCTCTCATTGGCTGGGCTGGGAGGCATGTGTGAAAAGCTTCGCTTCTCATTGGCTGGACTGGGAGGCGTGTCTGGAAATCTCCACCTCTCATTGGTTGGGCTGGGAGGCATGTGTGAAAAGCTTCGCTTCTCATTGGCTGGGCTGGGAGGCGTGTGTGAAAAGCTCTGCCTGTTATTGGCTGGGCTGAAAGGCATGTGTGGCTGGACTGGGAGGTGTGTCTGGAAAGCTCCGCCCCTCATTGGCTGACTTGTGTTTGCTGGGGACCCAATCCTGGGAAGCGTTACCCTGACCATGGCTCTGGATTGGATGATTGCTTTCTAAGTCTTGCCAAGGATGTGCAGTCTTGGTTATTTTCAGCTCGAGGCAGTGTTTGCCTTTAAAATATCCCTGTGCCAACTTCCATCTTCCTGGGTTTTGTGTGTGTGTGTGTGTGTGTGTGTGTGCGTGCCAGTCTTGGGGCTTGAACTCAGGGCCCCAGGCACTGTCCCTGAGCTTTTCTTCTTTTGTTTTACTCAAGGCTATCCCTCTACCACCTTGAGCCACAGCTCCACTTCTGGTTCTCTGGTGGTTCACTGGAGATAAGAGTCTCACAGACTTTCCTGTCTGGGCTGGCTATGAACCATGACCCACAGATCTCAGCCTCTCCTGAGTAGCTAGGATGACTGGCTTGAGCCACGGGCACTCGGCCTTCCCAGATAATCTTAGTGTCCACTCTAGTCACTTAGGGAGGAACCAGTGCTTGGATGCTGTTGAAGATGCAGGAGGCCGTGGTGGCTCACGCCTCCGATCCTCAGCTACTCAGGAGGTTGAGACTCGAGAATCCTGGTTGTAAAGCAGCCTGGAAACAGAGAAGTCCATGAGATTCTTCATCCTCAAATTTTTTTTAAACATCAGAAGTAGAGGGTTAGAGCCCTAGGCTTGAGTCCAAAAAGCCAAGGGACCATGCTTCAGGCTTTGAGTTCAAGTCCCTGCACGCGCGCGCGCACTCACACACACACACGAACAGGTGAGCAGAATATGACCATCCATGCCAGCGGGCTGCAGCCTAGCATCTGTGTTTCAGAGCGAATCACGCAGGTCCGGACCGACATTTACGTGACCAGCTTCGGCCCAGTGTCAGACACAGAAATGGTAAGTTCCCCGGGGCCTGGGCCCATGCATTCCGCCCTCACTAAATCACCCTGGGAAGAACTTCCCCCGTGGCTCAGGCGCCACCCCAATGCCTTTCCTTTGCCTCCAGGAATACACCATCGACGTGTTCTTCCGGCAGAGCTGGAAAGACGAGCGGCTGCGCTTCAAAGGGCCCATGCAGCGCCTGCCTCTCAACAACCTGCTCGCCAGCAAAATCTGGACCCCGGACACGTTCTTCCACAACGGGAAGAAATCCATCGCCCACAACATGACCACGCCCAACAAGCTGCTGCGGCTGGAGGACGATGGCACCCTGCTGTACACCATGCGGTGAGCGCAAAGCCCTGGAGGGGCCAGGGCCAGACTACACGCTGGGAAGCATGCCCAGACAGCAATGCAAGAGGTGTGTGGGGGGGGGGGCAGGGGGAGGGATCGGGCTCCCTGAGCACCCAAGGGCCTTGGGACCCTGTCAGTCACTCTGAAAAGGAGTCCTGAGACGCTGACTTCAGAGTAAAGCCTAAATCCTTGGCCATTGCCTTGGGGAAGATAAAAATGGAGTGCATTCTCGGCCCCATGAGCAAAGCGTGGAGGGCATAATGTAGAGGCTGAGATCTTGGAGCCCAGAGTCTGCCTGGGGTTAGGGGTGAGTAATTTGGGTGTGGTAACCGTATATGTTTGTGCGATACAAATAACCTTCAACCCCATGGGAATAATGTCCTTGATTCTCATTGTTGAGAGACTGTGGTTAGATCCAAAGCTTAAAAGAATAGATCATGAGGCCAGGTGCCCGTGGCTCATGCCTGTCATCCTAGCTACTCAGGAGGCTGAGGGCTGAGGATCACGGTTCAAAGCCAGCCTAGACAGGAAAAGTCTGTGAGACTCTTATCTCCAATGAACCATGAGAAAACCAGAAGTGGTGCTGTGGCTCAAAATGGTAGAGCATCAGCCTTGAGCAAGAGAGCTGAGGGACAGCACCCAGGCCCTAAGGTCAAGCTCCACAACCACCACCACCAACAACAACAAAGATATATCATGAAATACAACATACTATTTCTAGGAGACAATGGGTGTCACCAGTGAATGGAGCCTGGAGTTAGGACCACTGTTTAGAAGGAGAAGAGATGGGAGAGGAAATGCTTTACTGAGTTCCTTATTCCAGGTGTAAATATTGATACTTTTAGTCCTCAAAGAGCCAGCCAGGTGACCCTGTGGCCCACAGAAAGCATGGCACATAGGGGTTTGGTTATAGAGGTTTGGTTATCAGCCTGGGGTCTCACGAAGAGAAACAGACATTGGAACTAAGCCACGAGCCATGGCTTTTCTTTATCCACACTTGCAGTTTGGAGGGGTGCCATGTTATTGGACATAAGAGGACCTTCATAGCACACCTCCCTCCCCATTCAGAGTGTCATGCCCAGAAGGCAGCCTGGGACAGAGGGAAGCCAGAGAGACTTGTCGGCAGTAATGAGTGGTTGTGTATTCAGAGCAAGTCTGCTAATGAGCTGCAAAGTTGATAATGAGCTTTCTTTTTCAGTCCTCTGCGACATTTGGGAAGTGGAAATGGTTCTTCTTCAAAGCGTAAGGGATTTTAATGAGCTAGAGCTACAGCCATAGGGTGACAGTGTTTTATTGATGTAGTAATGGCAGGGAAAGGGCAGTATGATCACTGGTGGAGATACAGATCACGTGATGAGTGTGTATGGTAGCCCATGCATTTACGGTGCGTTTCCAGGGGGAAGTGGGACAGAGTCAGCCATTCAGCACTGCTTGATCCAGTAGAGGGCACTTTGGGGAGGCAGTCCTACTGGGAGGTCTTTAGGTCACTGGGTGTGTGGCCTTGATGACGACCTTGAGACCCTGCCTCCTCTACCTCTCCATTGCTCCCTGTCGAGAGCAATAGGGAATTGCTCTGAAATTTCCATGTGAGGCAAAACAAAATCCCAAAAAGCAAAAAAATGTTTTTGTCTTTATAAGTTGATATATCTCTGGTATCCGTGGCAGTAATAGGCTGACTGGCAGGCTTTATAAAAACAATAGCTGCTTTGCTAATCATTTCTGGACAATAACCACCTTAAGGGACTTTCCAGAAACACTGGCTAAGCATCATACCCAAAGGTATTTATTAGGACATTGCTTTTGATCACCAACATCGGAAGACATAAAAATTTAGTAATTTTTCCCCGTGTCTGCTCTTACTGAGGTTTGAATTCAAGCCTTGGGCGGCGGCTGCTTCTGCTGCTGCTGCTGCTTCTGTTGCTGCCTCCTCCTCTTCTTCTTCTTCTTCTTCTTCTTCTTCTTCTTCTTCTTCTTCTTCTTCTTCTTCTTCTTCTTCTTCTTCTTCTTCTTCTTCTTCTTCTTCTTCTTCTCCTTCTTCTTCTTCTCCTCCTCCTCCTCCTTCTCCTCCTCCTCCTCCTCCTCCTCCTCCTCCTCCTCCTCCTCCTTTTCCTCCTCCTCCTCCTCCTCCTCCTCCTCCTCTTCCTCCTCCTCCTCCTCCTCCTCCTCCTCCTCCTCCTCCTTCTTCTTTTTGTTTCTGAAACTATATCTCCATTTCTGGGTTTTTTTGTTGATTCTTTGGAGATAAGAATCCCGTGAACTTTGATACTTGGGCTGAGATCTGTGGATCACAGTTCATCGCCAGCCCAAGCAGGAAAATCCAGTGTGATTCTTATCTCCAATTAAACACTGAAAAGCTGGAAACGGAGCTTGGCTCACATGAGAGAGCATGCCCTGAGCCTTGAGTGAAGACGCTAAGGGACAGTACCCAGACCCTGAGTTCAAGTCTCATTAGTGGCAATGAATGAATGGATGACTTTTCCTGAATGCATATATATTTCATGCCATCTTTAAATTTAAAAAAATATTAAAAAGCAAATCACAGAAAGTTGCAGGGCATCTGCACTGAACAGCTTCTGGTGGAGTCTTTCAGGGTTGTCCCCAGAGTGTGAATCAAACTTGAGGCTGGGGGTTCAGGACTCCACAGAGCAGTTTCTCTCCTCTTCTGTCGCCAGATCCAAGCTTTCATTTGAAGGATGCTGAGCAGATAAAGGTGCTGACCCCAGAAATTGGCTTTAGCCCACCCAGGATTTTGGGGTGATTGTCATCATAGGCAGCCCACATAGTGGTTGTTTAAGTAATCATTGTGAGCTTGATAGGCAAACTCCTGCTGTATAGAGTAGTTATGTCTCTAGGTATCTGTGTCTCTGTGTGTGTGTGCCAGTCCTGGGGCTTGAACTCAGGGCCTGGATGCTGTCCATGAGCTTCTTTAGCTCAAGGCTGGTGCTCTACCACTTGAGCCACAGCACCACTTCCAGCCTTTTCTGAGTAGTTTATCGGAGAGAAGCATCTCACAGCTTTTCCTTCCTGGGCTGGCTTTGAACTATGATCCTCAGATCTCAGCCTCCTGAGTAGCTAGGATGACAGGCATGAGCCACCAGCACTGGCACCCAGCATCTCAAGGTGTCTTGTCTCTGGTGAATGGGTGAGCAAGCTCTAGGCTCTCACATTTGCATATTTGCCTGCACGTGCAAGCTCTTGAGAAATGGCTTGATGGTGAGTGTCTCCACAAGGAATATTCCCCTGGAGTTTGAGCCCTGGGGGGACAGTAAGGCCCCTCAGAGTTCGGGAGCAAGGAAACAACTACAGCCAAGCCAGGACTTACAGGAATGCACACTCTGCTAGAACCACATAGTTCTGTGTACCTCAGCAAACAAAAGGGCTCTTCCACCCATGGCCACCTTGCCCAGGCCAGTGTGAACATTGGAGTTAAGTTCAACTTTGAGCACTTAGTGCTCACCAATCCTTGGACGTTTTACACCAGTGCCTCCGAAAGCACAGGGTTTGCTTTGTGTTTGTTCTTCTGATTGGAGGACTGCTTGAACATGTGCATGCTCCTTGAATAGCCACAAGAGGGCACCACAGTCACATGTTTGGTTAGCAGTGGGTCAGATCTGGTTGGGTGGATGTGAACTTGAAGGGAATTCTTTATACTGTCTTGAAAGTTTGACCTATGGAAAATGCACGTGAAGGACATTGTGGCACACAGGTAGAAATGTTTAACTAGACACGGGAGATGTGTGCATATATACACACAACCAAAAATAGCTATCTACGCTGTGTCCAGTTAAAAACCACTTTCATGAGCCAGCAGATAGATAACGTTGGATGAATCTCGCAGGGTTAAGGGAACTCTTATTTTATGGCAAGAAACAAAATGTGAATTTAAAAATAACAGAAACCATAAGTTATGCTGTCAAAATCAAAGAGAATCAACAGGAATATTTTGGTACATGTCACATATAGATAATTTTCTTTATATATATTTATGTGTGTGTGTGTGTGTGTGCATCCTCTATACATGTGTGTGTCCTGTAATTTTCAGGTGATATAATTCTTCCTGTTGAGATGCCACCTTAGCAAACAAACTGGGTGAGATGCATATGCCCATAATCTCAGCTACACAAGATGCACAAATAGGGGGGTGGGGGGAGGAAGCTCAAGACTCTATCCTTACAAAAAAAAAAAAAAATGCTGGGCACCAGTTGCTCAGACCTGTAATCCTAGCTACTCAGGAGATTGAGATCTGAGGGTCGTGGTTCAAAGCCAGCCAGGGCAAAAAAAGTCCCTGAGACTCTTATCTCCAATTAACCACCAGAAAAACTGGACGTGGTGCTGTGGCTCAAGTGGTAGAGCGCTAGCCTTGAGCTGAAGAGCTGAGGGACAGCACCCAGGCCCAGAATTCAAGACCCATGACCAACAACAAAAAATAAATAACTAAAATAATAAATAAGTTAAAGCAAAAAAGAGGGGAGAGTCTGGCTCAAGTGGTAGAGCACTTGCGTATTAAGAACAAGACTGTGAATTCAATCCCCAATCCCAGAAAATAATAATAATAATGATGATGATGATGATGATGATGATGATGATGATGATGATGATGATGATGTGAGCTCAGCACCCTAAGAATCTGTCATCAACATTATCCCCAGTCTTAGATCAGGCAAACAGAGCCGGTGAAAATGAATGAACAGGAGTTTACCCACCCATAAAATCTAAATTCCCAGACTCTCCTTTCTGTTCCTATTGTACTACCATCTAACTCCAAGACCAAGATGTGCTCACCGTTCAGCCAGCAGGACTGGTGGCCACTGTCACTAGGTGGCGCTGTGGCCACACACAGAGAGGAAGGAAGCCAGGGTTATCTGAAAACCTAAATAACATGCTGCATGTCTGCAGGCTGCTCCCGTCCACACCACAGGATCAGAGGCCTTCCTCAGCCCCAGGCCCTCCCCACTGCGCAGAGAGCTAGTCCCTACCACCCAGACAACAGTTTG